CCCCGGGAGAGCCCTCGCCCCCACGAAGATGGCCGCAGGCAGGCGCTGGCGGGCAGCCCGGCCTTGCCGAGCGGGGGCTCCGTGGATGGCCAGCACTGGCTGTTGCTGGGCAGAAAGGGGCCTGTGAAACTGAGGGAAAAGGAGGGAGGCCCAGGACTGACAGGCCGGCTCTGCGGGCCGACTGGTGAACTGTTGCGACCTCGTGGCGAGCGCGCCCCAAAGGCAGCCTCCCAGGCTCTGGCAGTGGCACGATCGTGGCGCCCCCCTCGTACACTGGGGGGTGGGCAAGGTGCTCTGCGCGTGTGCGATTGGCATCAAGCCTTGGCCCGTCGTGTGGCTTCTCCCTGTTCGAGCCTCGCCCCCGGGAGAGCCCTCGCCCCCACGAAGATGGCCGCAGGCAGGCGCTGGCGGGCAGCCCGGCCTTGCCGAGCGGGGGGCTCTGTCATCCCTCATCCAGCGCCGACGCCTGGCACCCTGGACCAACTACGGCGACGCCCCAGAAAGGGCCAATGTTCTGCCTCGCTGGCCTTGCCCTTCTTGGCCTAGCTTCAGCCAAAGGTGCCCGAGCGCTGGGCTGGCCCGTTTCCCCCAGGCCGGGCTGGATTCCTGCCGCTTTGGGGCTGCCCTGGAAGGGGGCTACGCTGGAGGAGCAGCCCCTCAGCCGGGGGCAAGGGCTAGTTCCTGTCCTTGTTGGCAACCGTTTGCAGCGGGGCCGTCAGACCAGCAGCAGTGGTGGGATTCACGGCGCATGGCTGCTTGCACGTGAGGAGGGAAAGGCCTTCACCGAGCCCAGCCTGAGATCTGTTTCTGGAAGAATGTGGCCGCCCCCATGGCCGATCCCTGAGTGGACCGGGACAGCCTCTGCCCTCCGGGGGGGGCTGGGGGTGAAGAGGAAGGGCCCCTGGAGAAGGCAGGCAAGCCAGCCTCAACCTCCCAGGCCCTTGGGGGGTCTGATTCCAGGAATCCCTGGCCCCTCGGAAGAGTTGGGGTGCCAAACCCCACCTCTGCAAGGGCTGCCCCCTGCAGACCCTCTGGATCCCGCCGCCCCACGCTGCTTCCAGGGTCAGCCCCCGGACTCCTGCCTGCCTTCGGGCCTGGGCACCCAGGAGCCTCTCTTAGCTGTAGGAGGCTGAGCAGAGGAGGCAGGTGGGGTCTGCCCCCACTCCCCCAGAGCCCTTTCCCTCCCTCACGGACGCAGGGCATCCGGATGCTCTTGGCGCCCTCTGGCACGCACCACTCGAAGCTCTGGTGCTGCAAAGATTGAGGTGCCCCCTTGAACTGCCCTCCTGGAAGCGGGTGCAGGGTCTGCAGGGAAGGGCGGGGGTCGCGCTGCCAAAATACCCCCCAGTTGTGGAAGGCTGAGCCGCCCTATTCAATTTCCTCCTTGCGGAGAAAGGCCCCTCTGCACTGATCCGCCTCGTGGCCCTTCCCAAACCAGAAACGCAGCTTCTACGGACTGAGGGAGAAAGACAGAGCGCAAAGAAGTGGCTGCATTGCCCAGGATGGCACTGCTCGTTTTTATGTCCCCTGCATGAGGACGATGCCTCTTCCGGTCTCCGTGAGAGGGCATTTCCCCAGCCGAGCGAGGGAGAACGTGAGCTGGCACTCCTGTTGCCAGTCCTGCCCGGCTCGCGTCGTGGTGCCCCCCGCTCCGAGCCACGTGGGGAGTGGACCAGCCCTCCGGCCAAGGCACCTCGGCCCAACGGGCCCCCAAGGACCTGGGGCATCCGCTTGCTGGGTGGCGGCCGGGGGGGAGGGCTGGTCCGCCCGCAAGCCTCAGGAGGGGGTCCTGGGGTCCTGCTGGAGGCTCTCGAGTTCCTTCCACACCTCCTCAATCCTCTCCATGGAGAGCCCGTGGACGGTCATGGACTCCTGGTACGCCGAGAGGACATCCTTGGGGATGCCCCAGACGCGGAAGGCCCCGTCGTGCCGGTGGGGGATCCTGGCCGCCAGCGTCAGGAAGCTCAGGTAGACGTCGTCGAGGGGGAAGACGGGCAGCTCCAGGGAGGCCTGGTAGAGGGCGGCCAGCACCGGCCTGGACATGATGAACCCTCCTCCGGAGGCGAAGTTGGGGTAGTGGTCCTTCGGGTAGAAGTCCCGCGAGACGGCGTACTTGCCCCTCCGCATGACCGCTGAGTGGAACTGGATGTTGCCATGTATGAAGTGGGAGGCGTTGGGCGTCCGGTGGAGGTACTCGGTCAGGACCTTGGGGTTCACGAAAAGGTCGTCGTCCCCTAAAAGACAGCGTGGCATTGACACCCATGGAGTTACAGGAGTCGAAGGTTGAAAAGGGCGGGACTTCTATCGCCAGGTGCATCCACCATCTTGACTTTCTGGACACCCGCCAGTGGATGCCCAGTAAAATCCCAAGTTCTACAAGGGGGCCGTCCAGCCTTTCCTTAAGCCCCCCCAAGTGAAAGCCCGCCCTCCACCATAGAGCCATGGGTCCCACTGTTAGGGCTGAAAAACTCCTAATGGTTAGTGGGAATCTACCCTTCTGTGACCGAAATCCATTATTCTAAATCTTGCACTCTGACTTTCTGACGGCTTTCAGGTATTTGAAAAGGACAATCAGATTCCCCTCGTTCTTCTCTTCTCCGGGTTAAATGTACCCTCAGCTTCTCCATCTCTTTTTTGAGGACTTGGGGTCTAGCCCACCCCCCACCCCACCCCCATCATCCCTGCTGCCATCCTCTGCGTCTGTTCCAGTTTCTCTCAACTCCTCTTCGGCTGTGATGCCCAGAACGGGACGTGGCGTTTAAGCAGGGGCCTGACCACGGAAAAAGGGGTGCCAGGTGTGCGTTGGCTTTAGAAATGGCCGAGGAGCACAAGACATGGTGG